AAATGGGCCGTTATTGATAACACAAGACTCACAAAAGGACAGACTACAAAGCCCAGTTATTCAAATAACACAGGCTGTCACAGTGCGTTGCTCTTCATTGGCAACTTAACTGGATTTACAGAAGCCTAGGAGATGCATCTCTGGGCGTGTCTGTGAGGACATCTCCAGAGCAGTTTAATTAAGGAGGGGAGATGTGGCCTGAATGTGCTGACATCACCCGATGGTTTGAATGAGATCTGAGACTGAACAAAAAGGAAAGAATAAAGCATTCATCTTTCTTTGCTTCCTGATTAAGACGCCTGTGACAAGCCGCCTCGTGGTCCCGCCAGTACACCTTCCCTGCCACGATGTGTCCTCTCAAATGATGAACCCAAATAAACCCTTCCTTTTTCAAATTGCTTTGTCAAGTGCTCTTATCACAGCAGAGATGAAAGGAGCTGGCATACAAATCAACACTGAAAATTCCATAGAACTAAAATTTTGTGGTAAATGACGGTAAGCCCAACACAAAAGTGAGAAGACAAAACCATTAATGATGTCTCCCTGCATTACTTTTCCCTGCTATGGCCAGTCCCTGACATAATGTAAGTGGAAGATTTATCTGTGCCGCTTCATGATTTCAGAGGGCTCAGTCCCTGGTTACTTGGCCTTGTGTTTCTGGGCCCACTATGAGCAGAACCAACACCGTGGTGGTGGAAGTTCATGGCAGAGGAGATTCAAACTTTGGTGTGTGGAAAGCAAAAAGGGGGACATAGAGAGGATGCCAGAGAAAGCTGTGACCCCAAGGAACACACTGCCACTGACCTATTTTATCCAACTAGGCCCCACCTCCCAGCAACACAATCTTCATAGTGAGTCCATCAGTGGTTGAATATATTTATTGCATCAGTTCTCATGAGCTGATCTCTGGAGGTGACCTCACACACATATTGAGAGATATGCTTCATGAGGTTCCCAGGTGTTTTTTAACCTAATCGTGTTTACAGCCAAGGTTAACTATGACAACGGCCACCCCTTCCCAATCTGACACCCAAAAACATCACCTTAAACTTCAATATTCCACCTCTGGGCCTCAAAAGACTTGTGTATCTCTCATCACAAAAAAATATTCCCAGTCCTTCACCCAGTCCAACCGCAAAAGTCCCAAAGCCTTAGCAGTTCCAACATTATAAATTCAGTCTCCTCTGAGACTCAAGACAAACTTTAAGCTATGAACACCTATGAAAATATGAAAAGTATGTGAGAGTAAGAGAGCTGGTCCTGCCCTTCACTAGCTGCAGCACTCGGGAGATCAGGCCCTATACCTCACCCTGGCAACACAGTAGAGATTACCCTGTTGGCAGGCGCTCAAGTGAGCCAGCCCTGAGGGTGTGGGAGCAGGAAAGTTGACCCCACCCCACCCCTTATTTGCCACGTGGTGGCATGGGTGAGGGAAAGATGCCCTCCCACCCTCACCGTGCCTTGCCACCTGCATGGGGTGGGAGAGCTGGCCCTGTCCCTCACTAACTGTAGCAATTGGGAGAGCAGGCCCTGCACCTTGCCTGGGCAGCACAGTAGAGCTGGCCCTGGTGGTGTGAGTGTTGGGGAACCAGCCCTGAGGGCGTGAGAGCAGGAGAACTGGCCCTGCTCCTTGCTGCCTGCTGCAGTGGGTAAGCTAGCCTGGGCAGTGCTGAAGAGCTCACCCTGGTGGTGATGATGGGGGAAAACTGGTGGGTTGACCAACCTACCTACCATTCAGTTCCAAAACCAGGGTTATGAGTTGGCTCACCCCAATATCCACTTCATCTATGAACAGCTGGAAGGGGCTAGACCTGCAGATCCAAAGCTGCAAGAACTCCATGACATAAGACAACAACAGGAGATCCAAGAGGAGTCCCGGTGAGGGCCCAGTATCAAGGGTATAGCAGAAGCCAGAGGCCTCAAACCAGACCAGTGGCTCATTGCAATGAACACTTATGAGTAAAGATGTACAGACTAAAGGGTATGCTGTGACTCACTGTGTCACACTACAGCTTTCACGCTGAGACTTTAGTTTGTTTGTTTGTTTTATTTTTCTTTCAAATTTTATTTTATTTTGGTGGGGGAAGTTGTAAGGGCAGAGGGCAGATATAAAGGGGTGGAAAATGAATGGGATTGGGATGCATGATGTGAAATCCATAAATAATCAATTAAAAATTAATATATATACGTATATATAAAGGATACAATTCCATAAAATTGTGACACAGAGTAATCATTGCCATCCCAATGGGGATAAATGTAGAAATAGAGAAAAAGGATTGGATCACAAAAAGAACAAAACTCAGCAGGGAGCACATGGTAGCTGCAAGTCCAACATCTAGGACGCATAGCATCATGACATGAGTACCAACAGGCTTGGGCAGCTGAGCTCCTAGAGTCTTGTCATTTGTAGCTGACTTGGCCTCTCTCTGAAGTTGGTTCTACTTGATGACTGTGCCAGAATTCTGTATCCATGGGATTCCATTAGAGCTTAGGCTTTACCTTCACAGTTCACTTATCACACTCCCAGAGGTTCTCCATAGAGAATATAACCCTGCTACAGACTTCCTAGCTTTCCTTTGGAATTACAGTGGAAAATTCTATGATCCAGAAACTTTTTTTATTCTGGGTGCACCTTGTAAACAACGGCTATGTCTAACACCAGCTCAAGCTGTATCTGGGCTCCCAAGGGCCATGACTTCAATCGCCTCTGAGAACCTTGGCAAATGAACCTGGGAAATCACTACCACTGGTGACAGGATGTCCTTGGGGCTCATTCATCTCACAGAAAAGCCTTTCAAATTAATGTACTAGTTAGCACCCTTGAACTTGCAATGGATAAAGTCTGGCCAATGAACAGAATCTTGAAATGCCCTCAGGAAACTTTCTACTATTGGCCACTGTATCTTTTGTTTGTTTGGTTGGTTGGTTTGGTTTGGTCTAGTTTTGTCAACTTGTCTGCCTCCATCAGATTGGCTAGTAGGCAAGTCTGTAGGCATTTTCTTGATTAATGATTGATGTAGAAGGGCCCCACCCACTGTAGGCTCAGCAATCCTTGAGTAGCAAACTAGTTAACAGTGGTTCCCCCATGACTTCAGTTCTTTCCTCCACATTCCTGCCTTGAATTTCTGCCCTGATTTCACTCAGTGATTAGTGATAAAGTATGACCTCAGAGTTATAAACTTGAAGTAAATCCTTTCCTCCACAAGTTACTTTTGGTCATGATGTTTTATCACAATAGAAACACTAAGACACTATTGTCCTAGTGCAGTGCTTGGCTTCTTTTTAATGGTGTTAATCTCTTTAACAACCATGCACTCATTGACCACAGATTATAACTTGACTTTTCTGGTCAAACTACACATTTTCCTGATCTTTTTGTTTTATTTTTGTCTCCAAATTCTCACTATAAACCTAGCTCAAAGCTGCCAGCAACACCCATGCCACATTCTCAATGCTATTGCTGTTCCAAGACTTCCTCTGCTAATATAGTTTACCTATGATCTCAAATTCAGGCTTGTTCACAGTTTCAGGATACTGAAAGAGGTAGACAAATTCTTTGCCTGAGGTGGCATTAATTTCTTCTAATCCAATGTTCCCATAAAAACTTTGTAATCTCAGTCTTTCCTCTCTTAGTATCTGGTCTTCTGTCTCTGCTTACAGCATTCTAGGGCTTATATAGCACACTTCAACAATTTCTTCCCAATTCTTCCCATAAACCTGTTTAAAAGGCTTAATAGCCATATCATCAGATTTAGTCGTACCAGTGACCCCAATCTCATTATTGATATTTATACTAGTTGATTTTATCATTATTAGAACCAAAATATCTGACACAAACCAGTAAAGGTAAAGAATTATTTATTTTGCCATGTGATTTTAGAGTTCAATCTGTGGTCATTTGTATATACATTTCTAGGTTCACAGTGATGGTGGGAGTGTGCAATGGTATGGAGCATCATAGTGGGAGTGTATAGTGAGGAGAGCATCATGGTGGGATTATGTAGTGATGTGGAGCATCATGGTGGGAGTATATAGTGAGGTACAACATCATGGTAGAAGAGTGTAGTCATGTAGAGCATCATGGTGGGATTACATGGTGATGTAGAGCAAGCATCATGGTGGGAGTGTATAGTGGTAAAGATCATCATGGTAGGACCGTGTAGTGACTAAGGAGAGAAAGCCTTAAGCAACACTGCAAGAGATCAAGGATGAGTATAAAAATGGCTTGCATGACATGATCAGATGAGTATTCCTTTGTCTGATTAAGTCTTAGTCGTCATCCCCACACCCCCTGTTAAGTGAGAATTCTACAGACCCAAGTAGGTTAGTGAACAAACTAGGTATAAGTAACTTGTTCATATGAAGCTCCTGGCTGGATGAAAAGACAACACATCAGACCCTAAAATTAGCTGTGCAAATTTCTAAGCTCCCTAACTGGAAGTAGGGACCACAGTGGCCAGTGTCTGTTAGAGAGAACATGGAGAATGGTGTGCATTCAGTGCTGGGTGCCTGTCTGCATCCCTGAAGAACAATGTATCCCCCTGCCTCTGTGAATTCCTGAAAGAATGACTGTTTTTGTGAGTTTGAGAGAGAGAGAGAGAGAGAGAGAGAGAGAGAGAGAGAGAGAGAGAGAGAGAAAGCTTCCAGATTCTGATTTTCCTCCTAGATGATTATTTTGTTCCATGCTGTTGGCTTCTTTTCCTCACTCTTTCTGTACTTCATTTAAACCTGATGGTTTCTTAACGCACGATATTGATTGCCATCTGGAACCTAATTTGGACACTAATTCTCTGGCTTTTCTCCCATCTACATATAATCAATACACCTTGGTGATGATTCTAAAGGACTGCTCAAAGGGGAGGGGGCAGGTTCTGGGGCTTTGGGGTTTTTAATAAGTTGTGTGACTCTGCCAGCCTGTACCACCACCACCCCAAACACAAGAACTGTTGTCCCTACACGGTAAGGCAGGCCTCACGTCTCCTTTGTATTCCCAGCAGCACTGGTGCAGGGTTTCTGAGCCTAAACACGTCAGCCTCGGGGATACCAGTCACAACAAACCCAATGGACAAAACCGTGCCTGGAAGCTTCAACAGCAGGACCCTGATCCCAAACTTGATGATCGTCATCTCAGGACTGGTGGGGCTGACAGGAAACTCCATCGTCTTCTGGCTCCTGGGCTTCCGCTTGCGCAGAAACGCCTTCTCCGTCTACATCCTAAACCTGGCTGTGGCTGACTTCCTCTTCCTCCTCTGCCACATGATAGACTCCATTCTGCTTCTCCTCAAGTTTTCCTATCCCAACATTATCTTCCTCCCATGCTTTAACACCGTCATGATGGTTCCCTACATCGCAGGACTGAGCATGCTCAGTGCCATCAGCACCGAGCGCTGCCTGTCTGTCTTGTGCCCAATCTGGTATCGCTGCCACCGTCCAAAACACACATCAACTGTCATGTGTGCTACGATCTGGGTCCTGTCCATATTGATCAGTATTCTGAACCGGTATTTCTGTGGCTTCTTAGATACCAAATATGAAAATGACAACCGGTGTCTGGCATCGAACTTCTTCACTGCTGCGTGCCTGATATTTTTGTTTGTGGTCCTCTGCCTGTCCAGCCTGGCCCTGCTGATCAAGTTGTTCTGTGGCGCTGGCCGGATAAAGCTCACCAGACTGTATGCAACCATCATGCTCACAGTGCTGGTTTTTCTCCTCTGCGGCTTGCCCTTTGGCATCCACTGGTTCCTGTTAATCTGGATTAAGATTGATTATGGTGTGTTTGCTTATGGTCTTTATCTGGCGTCACTGGTCCTGACGGCCATTAACAGCTGTGCCAACCCCATCATTTACTTCTTCGTGGGCTCCTTCAGGCACCAGCTGAAGCACCTGACCCTCAGAACGGTTCTCCAGAGGGCTCTCCAGGACTCCCCTGACACGGGTGAAAATGGAAGCAGTGTTCCTCAGGACACGGCAGAGATGTCAAGCAGCAGAGTGGAACCGTGATGAAGAGCCTCTGCCGGGACCTCAGAGGTGGCTTTGGAGTGACCAACACTCTGCTGTACTTGACAACTTTCTGCTCTCCTCTGAGCCTTCTGACCTCAGTGGTTCACCAACGTCTCCAACAGATCGTCACTGACTTAGCTTTTCTACTTTTCCTGAGTAAAAGGATTTATCTGAAAGTATCGTGTCTTCATCCTTCTTGACATTAATAAAATTCTCACTCTAACTTCCTCTGAAGCTTTCTTGCTCTTTCTTTGCAACTTTTGTTGCAATGGAAATAGCCTCTGTCCAAAACCACAACTCTCTTGTTTGTGATTGCTGAGAAAGCAAGACATGTTAAAAAAAAAAAAAAATGAGGTAGCAAGCCACAATGAACCACGTGGCAAAGCATACATGAGAAATATGGGTTAATTTAAATGTAGGAGCTAGCTAGTAATAAGCCTGAGCCATCAGCCAAGCATTTATAATTAATATAAGCCTCTGAGTGGTTTTTGGGAACTGGTGGAAAAGAACCATCTGTTTGCACTGCACAGTAAAGACAAAGGAGCCCCATGGTTTCCTGTGAACCATTCTCATGAGACAATACCTTCAGTAACAGCAAAAATGTTTTACACCTATGCAATTGTAATGCTCATCATGCTGATAATAGATAGCCCTCAGTCATAAGACTAATGTACAATTTACAAAGACAGATGCCCACCAAGGCTCAGACACTGCACTACACTGCACACTCTCACAACCCTGTGATCCAGCAGAAGAATCCTATGTCTCCAGCCAGCTGATCCCAACAGCCAGAAATCTTGAAATAACTGGGAATGTGTATGCTGTGAGTTCTAGATTAGGAAGAGCAGCTGGGCTATATTCTCAAGCTGATTCCATGATCACCTTAGATCTCATGTCCATCCATGGAAACACAGCACGTAATGGAGTTAGGAAATGTCACTGATCTGATCTTATTCCGTAAGAAATGTGGGACCTGTATTTTGAACAAGGCTATGGTGTAACATGAATCTTAAGTAGTGTTCTTATAAGAAACTCCGAGCCAGATATTGGGGTAAAAGCTGAAAGATCAGAGAAGCAGAGTAAGCCACAGCCAACCTTACCTCACCAACTCCTTAACCAATCCTGTTTCCATGAATCCTCTGAGTACTTAAAGCCTCTGAGTCCTCACTCGAAAGGGTCTCAGCTGAACTGCTTTAGTTCCTGTTTCCTCAAGCTTTATATACCTTTCTCCACTCTGCTGTCACTTCCTGGGATTAAAGGCAAGTGTGCTTTCCAGTACTGGGATTAAGAGTGTGTGCCAACACTGCCTGACCTCTGTGTCTAATCTAGTGGATGGCTCTATCCTCTGGCAAGCATTATTAGGGTACACACTGTGGGATGTGACTTTATTGTAATTGTGACCTGATTATAAGAACCATACTGATTAAGAAAGCCCGAGAAATGTTTCCTCACATACACAAATGAGCACATATGCCTTGTACATGACTGACAGCTGACTGGAATTTGGAGAGGCTGCTGTGACATGTTCTTTCTGAATGTAGAGATGGTACATGTCAGGCATCAATATTACCATGACTCCATTGGTCATAAAAATAGATGTGACTTTGCTCCTAGTCTCAGTTCCTGCTCCCAGCAGTGAAGAAGAGATCTCTTTGACAGATCTATCTTACAGATGTCACTGACTCTGAATCCATCCAGAATAAAATACAGATGTGTCAACAGAGGAGAATATCTCATTTGTAACTATGCAATTGAAGTGGGTAAGTTGGAGTTTTCCTGGGATGCTTGAAATCTAAACTGATGGTTCTACAATTTTAGCCACCACATAAAGTTTTTGTGGCAGGGTGGGAAAATAAACAGTCTGGACACAATAAAATGAGAGAGGGGGAGAATTCATTGTGGCATTGTTAATAATAATAATTTTAATACTTTAAGATTCTTCAAGGAATGATTATCAAGATACACACACACACACACACACACACACACACACACACACACACACACACACACACATCTTTACTGTCCTGGGCTTCTGCCAGATAGTTGATCTTAACTACAACAAGGATCATAAGCTAGAGTGTGCCATGAGCTCTGAGCAATGTCCATAATGGCTCTGAACAGACAGGTATTGGCATAGACTTGCAAAAGCAGCCAGAATCAACTCCAAAGTAATGTCACATCAGACAGAGCCATCAACCCTGAACTAGCCAAAAGACAGGATCCTTTTGTCCCAACTCTCCTCCCAAGGATATCTCACCCTTGCTGGTTCACAGGCTGCAGAATTAAAGAGAGATAAAAATAGAATGGGGGAATTTAGGAAATGTGGGGGACAAGCAGAATGTACCCACTTTCCCAGTACAGTCTTTTTTGAGAGTAAAGAGCTCTGACCTCGGAGTAAATTGAGTGTTTCATTTCCTGACTAACCCTTAACTCTAAATGTTGTCATTGCTTCAATATGGATAACAGCTTGAAAGTTGATAATGACCTAACAGAAAACTCATATTTGAAAAAAAAGTCACCTGAAGATCTTTGGACAGAGACTTTTTTCTTTGACAGTGTAGTGAATGAGGACTCTGCAATGAGCTACATCCCCAGCCTTCCACTGCCTGGACATCCAGGCTAAACTCTTTGTAACCCCCTGCAACATTGTGACAGAACAGAGCAGATCGGCTTCAGAAGCTCTGGATCGAACAGTGGGAGAAAGGGGCTTGGTTTGGCAATGTTTATGCTCTCACTATACATTTTCATCTATTTCCTTTCCAAAAGCGATTGGAAGAAAAGATATAAATTTACATGTTACTTAATTACCATAAATGCTTGTAACATTTTCTTCCTGCCTAGGTGTCTGGGTTATAACATTTCTCCAGAAGACCAATGTCCTCTTTAGTGGTGACTGATATTCATATGGGTAGTCCAGCTACAAACTGCCCTGTCGGTTGTTTTATAACACTGTATTCTGGTTTACTTGTAGGTGTGTGTGGTGTGTGTACGTGCATGTATGTGTGCATGCATACATGCATGTATGCATGTGTGCATGAGTGATATGTGCATGAGTGATGTGTGCACATGAGTGTGTGTGTGTGTGTGTGTGTGTGTGTGTGTGTGGTGCTTTTTCACCTTTTGTTTGAGACACCATCACCCCCATTAGCTTGGTATTTCACCACACCGGCCAGGATGGTTAGCTACAAGCTTCCAGGGATCTTATCTCCCATACTACCTCCTGTCTTGCAGCACTGATTGCAGATATGCACCACCACACCCTGCCTTTTATATGGTGCATTAGTTACTTATCTTGTCATTGTGACAAAATATCTGATCAGAGCAGCTTGAGGAGGGAAGGGGCTGTGTTGGCTCATCATTCAAAGTGAGGGCTGTCATGACAAGGCAGTCACAGCAGCAGGGGCCTGAGCTGCTGCTTACATCACACCCTCTGTCAGGAGGCAGAGAGCAATGAATGCTCCATGCTCATCTGGCTTTCAACTTTTTATTCAGTCCTGGACATCAGCCCGTGGAATGGAGACACCCATGTTCAGGGTGGGACTTCCTAGTTCACTTAACGTAACCTAGACAGTCCCTCACAGGCGTTCCCAGAGATTAACCTAACCCAAATAACCCATGTCTTCTAGATGATTCTAGACCCTGTCAGACAATGAATATTAATCATCACACATGGATGGGATTTGAACTCAGGTCTTCTGGCTTGCAGACAACTGCCTTCCCGGCTGATCTATCTTCCCAGCACCACTTTAGCTCTCATTGTCTCAGAAGTGTTGTGTGAATGGACTCCCACACTAACTTTGAGTTTGTCCTCTTCCTCTCAGCACAGTCCTTCAGAGTCATCCAAGCTGTAGTGTGCACCAATAGGTCATTGCTGATTTTTTTTTTCAGTGATAGAGCAAGATTCTACAACCAAGAAGGTATTTGGATTGTTTCCTGACTAGCTGTCATAAATAAAGATGAGCCCAATGTGTTTGTACAGATTTTTAAGTGAACATCATTTTCCATTTCCTGGGATATGTGCCACAGTGGAATGTTGGGTGGAATAAGAAGTACATGTTTAATTTTCCAGGAAATGCAAAAGTACTTTCCATGGTGCTAAATTGCATTATGTTCCCATTGGCAGTGTGTGAAAACTCAGCTTTCTCCAGATCCTTGCCAGAGTAATTTAGCCATTCTATGAGCTGTACAGTTTCTTACGAGTCTTGTCTCCACAGCTTGTAAATGGGACCTTCTTCACATGGACCAACTTCTGTCTCTCTGGCCTAATCACATCTTTTTATTGTGCTTCTTATTTTATTCTTCCACAATTATTGTATACCATTTTCCTAGAGACTCAAACATTCCATCCTTCAGGGAAGCTCATTAAGAAAGAAAGTTGCCCAGCCTGGTGACAGAAACCTTTAATCCCAGCACTTGGGAGATAGAAGTAGATGGATCACTGGGAGTTCAAGGCCAGCCTGGCCTATATAACAAGTTCTTGGACAGCCAGGGCTCCACAGAAAGGTCTTAAATTCCTGTCTCAAATCTTATCCAAAAGAAGAAAAGGAAGGAAGGAAGGAAGGAAGGAAGGAAGGAAGGAAGGAAGGAAGGAAGGAAGGAAGGAAGGAAGGAAGGGAAAATGTTTTTTAAAAGAAGAAAGAAAGTAAACAATAGTTTCAAAATAGCTTTAGGAAGTCCTGAAAACTGATAAGATTCTCTAGGCCCCTCGTCCCCAAGAGCATATAAAGAGTAAAGACTGTTGAGAAAGACTGTGAGACAAGCCAAGAGGCAAAGGAGCCTCTGAGACCAGACCAGCTGCCTGGAAGGGGCTCAGCCCACCTGGGGCACCTGGACACAACACTCTCCAGCCTGTGGAGATGCCTGCAGATTGTGCAGTGCGTTCCAGGGTCCCAGGTTTTATGAGCTGTGACCCATGCTGGGGTAGGTTTTGGAGATGCAGCTGTCTTTGAGTCATTTCTGCTTCTGTAAGTCACCCTTCATCCATATTCCACAGAAGTCATTGGTTCACTGAATTGGACTAGGTACTTTGGTGTTATCTGTACTTTGCTCTGTCATCTACTCCCTACCTGGAGGGAATAGATGTGTGTTTCATCTCCCCAGGAAAAATTTGTCACACCATTACAATTTCATGCATATATTGGACTTTAATTGTATCCACTTCTGTAGGCAGAGTTTTCCTGTCCAGCAGCCAGTCTCAGATAAACACACTGAGGATTATAT